TGCACACGAAGTGCATGGTGTAGTATGAGTACAACCAACTCAGTAAGTAACAATAATAAATAAGAACTGAAAGGAGTGATGTGCTTCACAGCTAAGTCCAAATACAATAATTTTCAACATAAAAGGGTAGGCATGCTCTGATGTTCCACAATCAAAATTTCACAATAATTTCATATCAACTTTGACTGAAACAACAGAAAATGTCTTTTAGAAAGTTTTCCAAAACAGTCATATATGACAGCTGAAATGTAGCAACAATGAAATCAATGCATCCTCTCAGAATAACAGTCACTCAGTCCTTCTATTCACTCCAACCTCACAGTCACTCTTTCCTCACAGTCACTCATTCCTTACAGTGACTCATTCCTCACAATCACTCAGCACTCGGCACTCGCATTCATACTCAGTAGGTATTTGCGCTCACTGGAGTGTGTACAAACTCTGGAGGGGCTCATTCAGCCTAAGCGCTATATCAAAACAATGAAACATGCTGCGACATGCAGCCCGATCCCATAAATTTCCTCACAATTAGGCTCTTGGCCTCACTCAGTCATCAACCTCTCCAATCTCTCGGGATCAAGGTGTCATGAAAATCAGCCCCAAAATGAAAATATGATGCATCAATAAATAGCAACAGAGACTGGGATATGATATGAAATGAATGAACATGACTGAGTGTGAAATTACAATTTGAACATATAATTCAACCACAGAAATGATCCCAATGGGTACCAATAATAACAACATATGTCTAAGCATGATTTTTAATACGAGTCTCAGCTCAATTTTTCTCTAACACGTAGAGAATATACGGATATCAACAGATTATTCAACTATACAGTTCCATAGAATTTGACCAAGTCATAATTCCTACGGTGCACGCCCACACGCCCGTCACTAGCATGTGCGTCACCTCAAAACCAATCACATAACATATAATCCGGGGTTTCATACCCTCAGGACCAAATTTAGAACTGTTACTTACCTCAACCCGTGTAATGCTTTATTTTTCTATGCCCTTTCCACGAGAATTAATCTCCGAAAGCCTCGTATCTAGCCACAATTAATTCGATTTAGTCAATACCAATTATTATAATTAATTCCCTAAGGAAATATAAATTTTCCAATAAAAATTCGAAATTAACTCAAAAATTGTGGGGCCCACGCCTCAGAACCCAACAAAAGTTACAAAATATGAACGCCCATCTAACCACGAGTCCAACCATACAAATTTCACCAAATTCCGACATCAACTCGACCCTCAAATCTTCAATTAAAGTCTTTGAAGATTTCTACCATTTTCAACCCAATCTTTACCCATTTGAACTCAATAATCTTTCCATAAACCGTATTGATACGTATAAATAATACTCTTACACCCAAGAATCATACTCTTAATCACCCATCTTTACCCAAACTCGAAATTAAAGACTAGGGGTTAGAACCTTACCTCTTGCATGAAGATCTTGTGATATTTCCTTGTTGGATTTCAAAATTTGAACAAGATCTTGATGAACAAAGCACTTGAGCTTCTTCTTCTCTCTAGAACACTCTCCCTTCTCTCCAAAAATGTCAGATATTAGCTCCAAAATGAGCTTCAAGGGCTATAAATCGAAGTTGGGTCGGGTCAAAAATTAGAAAGAATTGAAGCCCCGACGCAGATTTGCGATCACATATGCGATCGCATAACACGTATGCGGTCCGCAAACTGACCATATAATTGAAGCTCCAAAACGAGGGTCACCTGGACAGGTCTGCGGTGATTATGCGGCCCACATACCTATTCTACGGTCGCATAATGCACCACAAAATATGTCTGCGGTTGCATAATGCACCGCAGATTTTCTCAAATCTTTCCTCGCATCTGCTTCACTCTGCGGCCATTATGCGGTTCGCAGAGTGATTCTGCGACCACATAATGGACCGCAGAAACTTCCTCTTCAGCCAAAAATTTTTCTTTACTCCCCAGTGCATTTTTCAACCCAAAAAGTCCGAGCCTTATGTAGCATTTTGTACAGGTTTATATGTCTGGCAGGTGTCTTGACCTAGCCTCGTCACTACTATACCAAGGTTAGGCTTGATACTTATTAGATACCGCTGTGGTGTACTCATACTACTCTTCTGCATATTTTTGTGCAGATCCAGATACCTCAGTGTTGTTGATAATCTTGTTAATTGATTGTATATTATTATGGAGACTTAAGGTATACCTGTTGTCGCGTTCGCATGCCTCAGAGTCACCTTCTGATATATTCCCGCACTATTGATTCTATTCTGGAACAGTTGTATTTAGAGATTTTTCTAGTAAACTCTATAGAGCTTGTGACTTGTACTACCGGTTTTGGGATTGTAGAAAATTTCTATTTCATATTTAATACTTGTTAGTTGAGTCACCACTAATTTAGTAAGTGTTAGGCTTACCTAGTCCCTAAAACTAGGTGCCATCACGACATCCTACGGAGGAAAATTTAGGTCATGACTCTCTCTCTCTCTCTCTCTCTTTCTCTCTTTTTTTTTCTCTCTCTCTCTATAGTCAGCAAGATTCTCAATCCTCTCTCTTCTCCATCAAATCAACAGAATCGTCGGCGTCATCATCGTGGTCATCATCAGAATCGTCGTCGGCGTCAGAATCGTCGGCATCATCATCCCCTATTGACTCATCCTCTTAGGTGAACAAATCTGGCCATGGCTACGCCGAAGAAGATTTGAGGGCCGGATTTTTGTTCGTCTCCATTTTTAGTTTTAATACAATGTATACAGTATTTTGCATGGCCAAAAAATGCCACCTCCGGCAAACTTCTTCACTTCTTTGCTATTTAGTCACATGTAATGATACAAATATATTATATTTTGTACAAATACACTCAAATGTATTATATTTTTGTATAAATATATTATTTTTTGCCTGTTTTTATGTATTTCGAAGGTTTATATTTTTTGAATATAGCCGAATATCACTGTGTTTTGTAATGTTTTGTTGTTTGAATACGGTGAATTGAATATAATGTATAATAGTGAATAATGAATATCTGTGAATTGAATAGAACGGTTTACGCCCTATTTCTTGATTACCTCATTGTATTTAAATACAGTCGTGTGAATATATAGAATACATCATAGTACCAGCGAAATCTATGTAGAATTGATTTTGTTGAGTTAAATTAGGAGTGATACACGCTAATTGATCCTCTTTCCATGATTAAACATCTGGACCTCCCCTATTTTTTTAGGTGAATTCCGCTACTGTATTCATGAATACAATGGCACGAATACAGCCGCACAGCTGGACTCCCCTATTTTTTATGCGAATTTCGCTATTGTATTCATGAATACAGTAGCGCGAATACATCAAATACAATCGCGTAACAAGTAAATAGTAGCTATAGGAAGTAATTATATATATATTGTAGCTATAGGAAGTTAATAGCCACTAAACAATAGTGGTTTCTGAAAATTCCTCTAAAGAAATGACCCTATAAAGGGGTTGGTCTTTTAATATTGTTTCTGTTTTTCTTTTAAAAAAATGATATCCGACCCCATACATACTTATTGCTTGTCACTGATTTCTCTACCGGATTGATAGATTTTATGCTATTATTTATTCTACTTATATTGTTAATTATCACTAACAATTATCACACAATAGGTTGGCATGACTTTGTGATTGTTCAATTATTCACCAAACTCTATCATATTGGCATGACTTTGTATTATCTACATTCGACCTATTTGTTAAATTATTCACAAGCTCTACCAATTGGCATGAATTTGTGCATGTTCAATTGTTCACCAAACTCTACTGGATTAGTATAATTTTATGTTATCTACAATCGACTTATCTATTAAATTATTTATCAAAGTCAACCGATTGGCATAATTTATCTGTGTTGTTCAATAAAGTGTTCAATTGCAATTTCGATAAGACCGCTCCAAATATGCTCTAATTGATCTCAAATTTGAAATAAACCCTCCAAATGCTAATACAAATAATTCTTAATCACCAATTTAGTCAAATAATATCAAATTAAGAAGACGCACTTTGTCTTCTTCAATACTTTCTGAGGACCAATAATGAAGTTTTTACATTTTTAAAGCAGATCACTAAATCAGTGTTTGGACTAAAAAAATTAAGTATAAATTATCAACATTCAAATAATTTTAATAACAATCAATCATTAACTTTCAGTTTTCATCCCTAAACAAGAATTTTAAGCTTTCAATATTGAAGAACTATGGTGTTCTTGGTGNGGGGGAGGGGGGGCAAACAATGCAATTTCGTGACTTGTTAGACAAATGAGCTTTAGTCCCATTAGGAAAAACTAATTGAAGAATTAATTTAAATAGCCGCGCAATCAACTGATTAAACTAAAAATAGCTGGCAGATGTATGTATGTGTGTGTACATATATATATATCCAGTGTATAATCTACGTATACTGACTATGGAAAATAAACACTAAATCTAACCGGCTTTGTATAAATATCCCCAACAATTAGCCATCAATTCATTGGGTATCTAGCCTTCGACAAATCTAATCAAGACTTAATGGGCCGGATTATGAAAGGGCTGATTAGCCATGGACTCTTGTTTGACAGATGGGCTTTAGGCCCATTGTTGCTTCAAATTTGTTTTTAGAACTGTCAACAGTGGGAGACTGCTATACTAAAAGTTACCAAAAGTGTGTGAATATTGCCTACCATCAACTCTTTAAACTTTAAAGTTTAGGCACAAAAAGAAGAAAAGAAAGCAGAGAGTACAAATCGAAGAGCTAGCAAAATCTTGGAAAGAACAATACAACACCCTTCAGTTTATCAAAATTAACAACAACAACAAACAAAGAGCGCTTTATTAGATTTCAAACAACATATACCACTCTATATTTTCTTGGGAGCTAGTCTAGAGTCACTATCCAAGATAAGTCTTTTTCCAATTTAGAAATTCATTTTCTATTGTTGGGTTATGATCTAAAATACATTTGGTAATATTTACAACAAAGGAGCTAAAAAAAAAAGATTCACTTAAATATAAATCTCAAGAATATTCACTCATTTCAATATTACATTGCAAGTAACTCTTAAAAGACAACAACATATAAAAAAGAATAACCTCCTGATGATGATCCTATTTGTTTAAAAGAAATAAGAGCATAGGAAAAGAATTTTATCAGGAATTAATCAAATTGGAAGAAATACCAACAAAAAGAAATATGAAAAAAAACACAAAAACATGGTAATTGATATCATGCAAGACTTTTTCGAATTTAGTTGCTTCTCTTTTTCTCCATCCTACTGAAGGATTTTCTTCTCAATCCACTGAGCTGCCTTTCCCACACATCCTTAAGAACAACTCTACCATTTTCACTAGATTTCCTTCCAAATGTTCCTTTAGAATAATCCCTCAACCTTAGTTGATAATCATAATTTTCTCGTAAAATTGGATCAGAAAGAGTCTCATATGCCTTTTGCAATTCAATAAATCGTCTCATGGACTCTTTTTTATTTGAGTGATTGCAAACATCAGGATGATACTGAAGAGCCATACATCTATAAGCCTTCTTTATCTCATTAATCCCTACATTCTCAGAGCAAAGAGAAAGAACTTCATAGAAATTATTGGTATTTTCAGTTGTCTGCATACTCGCTTTTATTTTCAGTTGATGACTAACTTTCCATTTGTTTTTTCCAGCTTTTGGAATATTGAACAATATTGGAAATATATTTTCCACCTTATAAGTATTGTTCATCTTCAAGGAAATCTCCATTGTCATGAATTTTTGTGGAATGTTTGCAAGAAATGAAATAGTTGAACCACATATGTTGTGAGGGTGTTTAACTTAAAGCATGATTTAATTTGTCTGACCTATTGATTTCTTAACCAAAAAGTAAAGATTTCTTGTGTAAAACGCGGTTTTGTGATTAGTTGGTCGTTGAATGGCAATTTGGCATAAAGTTGTCGTCTTTTTGCTGATGTTGGTTTCCTCTTCGTTTATATATGCCCAAAAATCATCTTGTAGTATTTGAAATGGATCAATTATAACCTCCGTTTAAACTTAAATCCAAAAATGACCCTACCGTTATAGAATGGGTCTAATAATGCCCTTGTGTTATTCGAAATGGATCAATTATAACCCTCGTTTAAATTTGAGCCCACCATTGATCCTGTCATTAAAGAATGGGTCTAATACTACTATTTCTCTCAGTTAGTAATGCTTAGGGGTGTAAAATGGATATTTAAAAACCGACAGAACCGTGTCGAATCAATTTTTAGGTTTCTTTTAATAAAACCGTAGGTTTTTATATAAATCTATAACCGTACCGATAATTAGAGTAAGTTTTTTATTTTATAAAAATAACCCGAAAAAATATCGAACCGTACCGAATAAATTTATATGTGAATATATGTTTCACATGTAAATATATTCGAACCATACCGAATAAATTTACGAATAAATTTATATGTGAATATATGTTTCACATGTAAATATATCGGACCTATTATTAGACCCAGTATAAATATATGTTTCACATGTAAATTTATTCGGTACGGTTCGATATTTATATATTAAGTTTAAAAATAATAATGGGTCTAATATTTATAAAGAATGAGTTGAATAAGTTTAAAATTTGAGCCCACTAATGGCCATGTCATTAAAGAATGAGTCTAATATTTATATTTGTAAATAATAATATATTAATATAAATAATGTATAAATTTTAATACATTATTATTTTTAAACTTAATATATAAATATAAGTTTCACATGTAAATTTATTCGGTACGGTTCGATATTTTTTTGGTTTATTTTTATAAAATAAAAAATCTACTCTAATTATCGGTACGATTATAGATTTATATTAAAACCTACGGTTTTATTAAAAGAAACCAAAAAATTAATTCGGCACGGTTCTGTCGGTTTTTAAATATCCATTTTACACCCCTAATCATTACTAACTGAGAGAAATAACAGTATTAGACCCATTCTTTAATGGCAGGGTCATTGGTGAGCCCAAATTTAAACGAGGGTTATAATTGATCTATTTCGAATAACACAAGGGCATTATTAGACCCATTCTATAACGGTAGGGTCATTTTTGGACTCAAATTTAAATGGAGGTTATAATTGATCCATTTCTAATACCACAAGGTCATTTTTGGGTTTTTTCCCTATATACTAAGATCGTTATGTTTTCATAAAAGAGCGATTTTACCTCAGTTAAATACCTTCTTCGATTTGCATGGCACTTTTTGGAACTTGGCTATGTGGAATGAATTTATTGTGTAAATAATTTATATATGAAGATTTAGTATTTAAACTAATGTGTGACTATAATGTACTCAAAAGTGCTAAAAGAAAGACTTAAAATAAACAAAAAATGGATTTCCTTTTCTTCCCGTATTTGAATGAGCTAGGACTTTCAAAACTCTCTAACTCATTTATTTCTTGTTTTTGAGAAATAACTATTGTTTGAGAAAGGAAATAACGAATCTGTTGGAAATTATTGGTTGCCGTTCCAATGATAATAATTGTAAAGAAAAAGGAATTGAATTCAAGTAAAGGTGATCGGTCAAAGCAAAAGATAGGGCGGCATTAATACGCTAGCTTGACCTTAACACATCTAATGTACATAATAAATTCAGACTATGTTGCGACACAAAAACCAACCATTAAAAGATCATAGTAGCATCTGTTTTGTGGTGTTTTGGAAAGGGGCCCCACGAGACATGTATTATATCGTGGATGTCCATTTATTACTCCGATATAGATAATCTTTTTCACTTCATTTAGTACTTTATTAAAATTTATCTACAAGCAGCTGATGCATGCAGGTTGCAAGCAACTCAATGAAATGACTTGTATCAACTTCTTATTAAACAGGCATGTTGCGAGCAACTCATGCAGACAGCTTACAAGCAGCTCAAGAAAAGCCTCGCAGCTGCTTCCTGAAAAGTTTCGCAGCTACTTCTTTTCTTCTATAAATAGAAGAGTTTTCAGTTCATTATGTACATCAGTTTGAAGTTGAATAATATATCAATGTCTCTCAATACTTGTGTTCAGTTTATTTACTTTATTTATTTTAAAACACGTTATCAGCATGAGACTCTACTCTCTTGATTACTTACTTTGAATTTAACTTTTCCATTTGAGGAATATGAAGTAATTCGAAGGCACGATATCCCTTTTCTAATGCATCTTGAGAGCAAGAGATACATAGGTTGTTTTTCTGTTTAAATGACATGATATTTCAAAGCTACTGGTCGGTACTCTCTGCCCATGAAGTCCTTTATTGGGAGAAGGTTTAATTTTACAATTATATTAGTTAACCTTTCAAGCAACTACTTGGGTACTTTGTTGTTAATCGTAAAAATTTTAATATTGTACATCGCGATAAGGAACATGACTTATAGCACTTCAATCTCATTTTCACAAAATATTTTGGCACCAAAGTCATCAAAAGCATGTTGCCAATATTCTGCAGGAAGGTTAGTTCTCAATGACTCGTATATGTAATATTTAACACAATCTTTTCTTTGGTTTCTAACTCCAGCAGAGTTTTGCATGAAATATTTAACCACCGGCAATGACAATATTTTTTAAATCTCGTTATGATTTAATTTTATGATTCATTTGAACTCTATCAGAGTACGACCACCAAAAGTGACTATATTTCATAACTAAATTTGTTAACTACCAGAAGTGATATATGCATATGACTACCAGAAGTAGTAATTTAAGCTTTTCTACGGTTATAATTGAAGATAAGGTAATGAATTATTCTCTATATTACATGCATGCCTCAATTTGCTCCTGAAGTAGCATTATCTTAAAAGAGGTTCTAAGCCATCACACAATTTGGTGTGATTAATTCACGTTCCAATAATTATGTTCCATTCCCTAAAGGATGAGAACTTTTGATAAATATTAGTCTATTCCCTGAAGTGAATGTGACAATATTAATAAAACTCGTAATGTGAATGTGCTCTTGATGTAAATATATTACAATTCACCTCTAGAAGAAGTAATATGATTGAGAGAATATATATTCAATATTTTGTATTTCAAATTTGCTCCTGAAGTAGTAAAACAATTGAAATTTCCTCCTGAAGTAGGAAAATATTTTGAAGCAGTGTCTTTCTGTGCTTAAACAAAATAATGAGCTATTCAAAGTTATTTTTGAACGACATTCCCTAGAGTGAATGAAGAAGTATCACAACTCACATCCTGAAGAAATAGAATAATAAAGGATATAAATATTATTTTTGTGGCATAGAAATTATTGCCGCACGTACTTGTTGTACGTCAAACATCTTTGAAATTTATTTATTCTAAGGCAAAAGGATTCTTGTAGAAAACTTTTTATTATAACCACATTAATATATTATGGTTAGTTGTTATTAACTATCCCGAAGAAAATAACAACTCATGTATCTTTCCCTAAAGGATGTAATGACTATGTGGTTGCCGTTTTGATATAAAATATTTAGATGTTAATTGCGTTTCTCCCTGAAGGAGATATTTGTCACAAAGTTGGTGGCAAAAATACTGAAATTCTTAATTTCTGAATTTACAAATTTAGAATTGTCTTTATATTATTCATTTGATTATGATTTTCTCTCATGATACCATAAGTGTCTGAGCAATATTTGATAGTACAAAATATATCAAAAACTCCTAAAGAACTAATTATTTATCTAGAAGACACATGACACCAGTAGTGTCCAGATAATATTAGAGTGTGGATAATAAATGAAGGCTCTCGAAGAGCTTATATACAAATATGTCATTCATATTATATGATTGGTCAAAACATATGTAGTAGTAAACCCGAAGTTTACTAATACAAATGGCTATCATATTGAGACTACAAATGATTGGAAGATTGAAAATCTTCATGTTTTCAAAATCATAGGGGGTAAAATAATATGTATGTGAGAAGTTACATGCCTTATTGTTCAATTTGTACTACATCATTTATCATAGTAAATCGGTAGTTTAGTAATGCAAAAGCAGTCATAGTAAATCAGAAGTTTTACTGAGGTAAAAGTAGCTACAGTAAATCAGAAATTTATTGATATAAAATTAGCCCCAGTAAATCAAAAGTTTACTAATACAAAAGTTTATGCCATAGTAAACCAGAAGTTTACTAAGAGATAGCACATACCATGATAAACTTGAAGTTTTTATTTGCCAATTTTAAATGAGTTATTTGAGAATTCAGATAAGCATATATCGAAGAACTAAAATATTCTTCAAGAATTATCTTGTGCTTGTTCTTATAATAAATTGATTATACTAGCTAAAGTTGGGACTAAGACCCCTGAATTATAGAATATATAAAACGTGAATATAGGCCCATTCACCTATCATGTAAACCACTTATAGATGCATATATGAGATGTTTACATGTGCGTTTATTGTCAACCTGCAGTTTGGCATTTGAAATTGATTTTCTCAATTAAGAGCATAATTTTTAGATTATGAAATCAAGACAGTTCATCTTGATAATGTTGGTTTATGTGATGACCCGATAGTTTATTTTGAAGTTTAGCCTCTATTTTCGTGATTTGAGACCTCGATTAGCACTATTTAGCAATTTACGTGCGCAGTCCGTGTGTCATTCCGGAAAGTCTTTATGTGAAAAACTGAAGAAAAATATGAAAATTTGTCTTAAAATGACTTAAGTTGACTACACTCAATATTTTTTTGTGTAAGTGGACCCAGATCAGTATTTTGATGGTCTTTGTGGGTCCGTATCGTGATTTGGGACTTGGACGTATGCCCAGAATTTAATTCGAAAGTCCCTAACTTGTTTTGACTCATTT